TGTGACATGTTGATCCCTACCGTCCCAGCTCCACGTAGCGGTAACTTAGCGATCGCGTAATAGGTGAGTAATCACCCCGCAATGCTAATCAACAGCGGTGACGTCACGCGCGGTGACGTCACGAGCGGAGCCGAAGAGAGCCGAGCGGAGCCGAAGATAGCCGAGCCCCCGTAACCTGGTAACTATGCAATGCTAATCAACAGCGGTGGCGTCACACTAGCAACAGCGTCCTGGGCTATACGCCACGTCACACTAGCAACAGCGAAAGGCTATATAAGTGGACTCCACAGCCGTCGAAGACAGTTCGGAGTTGTACTGAGACAGTCAGTTAGTCCTGGAGCTACCTACGAGAGTTGTACTAGAGTTGTACGGTAACTGTTATACCGTGGATATCGCTGTTGGGTGGAAACATATCCTAATCAGATGTAAGATGAAGTGTGCTAGCATTTATGATGTATTTTCATAGGACTGGTCTGACTTGGTTGAGTATCCTTACCATTAAGAGACGGCCCTTTAAATTCGGGTAATGGCTGCGGGACTGATTTGATTTAAATGCCCGCAATTATAAAGCTATAAAAACTGTAATCATTTACTAAAATTGCTGTGATTTCTACAATTTTTGTGATAAACGAACCAAATAAACGCTGCTTTTTTCTAGAAAGAATACAGAATCGGATATTGTTGTTTACAGACTTTATAAAATGTGTAAAATTTTTTAGACTGATTCCAATTAAAAAATTCCCCAATTTGTATTCTGTCTACAAGAATACATACAGTTCTTGCAAGTATGAATGCGGCTTATGTGGCAACACAGCGGATGCAAGCTCTCGGTTGTTTAGGCTAGCGTGTCTCAATGTTTATTCACGTTAAGTTCTTTCGGTATGCAGAGATGTGGGCGAGTATCTATTCGTTTATAAGAACCCTGATTTTTTATTATCGCTTATAGCTACACAACAAATACTCTCTGTTCTGACTCTGCCGGCCTAGTGTATAAGAAGTTGCAAGGTTAGCGTCCTTATAAAACAGCACACCGCCACAGAACATTCAAGGTTAGCATTCTGTGAAGTTGTGAACAAACTATTGCGTCGTCTCGTTTGGAAGACTCGGACATATTTCAGCTCATAAATGACTCCGAATCAGATTGTTGTATCGACAATTTTGAGAGTGGCGTTGAGGAAAGTGAATCAGAAATTGATTTCGACGAAGAACCATCGTCTTGGTCGGCAACCTGGGGACCACCACACCAGCATGGCAAGAGGAGTGTGAATAATTATTCAGGTGGAGCTGTGGGCAAACTGTGGCAAACAGTTATAGCATCTGTCGTCGAACCAGGAAATGGACAAATAAACTCTTTTTCCATCTTCTGGATCTGAACAGTTACATCCTGTTGTCACACAGAGAATTTCGTCTCGCTCTTGTGCGGAACATGCTGGAAGGGGTCCACCTCGCCTTCAACGGCCCAGGGGTCGAACCCGGGCCGTTTCATCGGAGATATCTCGATTAGAGGAGGCCAAACCACATCACTGGCCGACTTCCTCTACTTCGCAATTGAGGTGTCGTGTGTGCTCTTCGCGTGGGAAACGAAGAACCGTCCGAACAAAGTGCGTGAAGTGTGACGTCGGAATCTGCATTTCCGGATGTTTCCAAGAATTCCACACGAAGGCAACATTCCGTTAGATGACGCAGGTGGGAAGACAGAAAACTTATAAAGCTGGTGTCCAAAAATCATGTAAGTAGAACAAGAATTTATACTTAAAATTATATTTAAAAAAAGAGGTGCGCACGCGTGGACTGCGCGTCCACATATGTGGTCATTCGTCCCCTTGACTTTATTTTTGTGTCTACATATGTGGTCTTTAGGCTTTAAAAGGGTATGTCATCCACAAGTTCGTCAGTACACCAAGAGTATCTCAGATGTCATCAGAGTCTGGTCATGTGGGCACTGAGAGCAAAGAAGCTTTGTACCTATGTAGAGAGTCTGAAAAGTCTGATGCAGAGTAAGTAAAGTTTCCAACTCATAATACTACCCCTGAATCATGACTTCTAGGAGCCCTAATCTGAATGTCTAATCTCTAACCCTCCCTTTCTTGATGCTGCTCCAGTACTGTCTCTTACATCTATTTATACCAGTCAGGTTACCTCAAGTCTTAAGGTATCTTGAGTGCTTCCTTTGTAGCCATTCCCATCTCGCTTTTGTTGTAATACTATAGTTCTAGTGTTAGCCATATTTATCATGTGATATATGTTGTTCATAAGTTGGTACCACACCCACTGCTACTTCTTTTGTTAATGTACCTTTGGTATCTTGTAATGTTTGTGAATGAAGTTAGTCTCCAGTAAACGTTAGATTTGGACGAAGGCGTTTCATTTCTTATTCGTTTTTACCTCGATGATCCAATGTGATTTCACAAAGGAAACAACAGGTTATGGGCCCAGAGTCTTAAAGCACTGCGCCAGACATCGATAAAACGGATTGGAGACTCAGAAGACGAGTGAAGACAATAGGATAAGTGAAGGTATGGACCTAAACGGCAAAGACGGCCATTTCTCGGTCCCACGTGCTGCATGGGATTTTGAAGAAAGGAAGTAAATAAGACGATATAATATTTCAAGATGTCAGAAGAAGTTTACCGAAGACGCATAGAACCTTTAAATGACGATAACTACACAATCTGGAAACATCGCGTAACGCTAACCCTAAGAAAGAGGAAGCAATGGGAAGCCGTGGAGCCCGGATATGATGGAGTAGAAGAGGATTGGACACCAGGTCAGATTCAAACAAATCTTGAAGCACTTAACTTTATTACCGAGAATATAGAAGATAAATATGTACCGTCGATAGCACATCTGACTACAGCTGCAGAAGTTTGGCAAAAGCTGAAAAGGCGAAACTGTGAGTACACATGGGTCCATATTGCCTTGATGATTGAAGAATTAGCTTTGACCAAAAAGACTGACGAAATAAGCATGAATGAGTACCTAACGAGGAAACAAAATTTAATTTTGAAGTTGAAGAATGCTAATGTACCGTTTAGTGAAGGAGCACATATTGGTTTTATTTTCAGCGGGTTACCCAAACAATATGAAAATCTCATGTTATCCTTTTCAAGTAAAGAGGACAAAACATCCTTAGAAGAGGTAATTAGCAAATTATACCTGACAGAAAAACAAGATAAAATTCACAGAGATTTTGAGAACAACAAAGAAGAAAAAGCCCTTTTACTTAGAAGAGAATCTAGGTACCAGAAGAATAATAATTATTACCCAAAACGTGATGGAAAATTCAAAAACCAAAGTAAAGGGATCAATTGTGACCAAAATGTAAAGAAGAATGTAATTTGTTTTGCATGCAATCAAGCTGGACATATTGCTAAATTGTGTCCAAAGTTTAATGTCCTAAAGAATAATGGGGGAACCGCCAAAATAGCAGAAGTTCAAAAGGAGAATGAAGAAGAAGAAGAAATAGCTGTAGTAGCGGAGGAACACATTGAAACAACAGAGGAATTTGTCATGACAGCCCATGCGGGAAGTAGGTCCGAGGAGTTCAGGGATCTGTGGATTCTTGATTCGGGAGCATCCCACCACATGACGCCCTACAAGGATATATTCGACAACTTAAATGAGGGTGTAAGAGGAAACGTCATGTTGGCGAAAAGGAAGACGAGTACTCCTTTGCTGGGTAAAGGGAGTGTAGCCTTAAAGGTAACAAATGAATATGGAGGCAAGAAGTTAAGATTAAATAATTGTTCATATGTACCTGGTTTGGATTGTAACTTGTTGTCAATGAGACAATTAGATAGGTTGGGTTGTGAAGCACATATAAAGAATGGGATAATAACAGTCTCAAAGGATGGAGTTGTCATTTTTGTAGCCAGGGGAAAGGGAGATCAATTATACCATCTTCAGTGTGAATATTATACAGTGTCAGGCAAGAGTTTGATGTGTAGTATAAGTAGTAAGATGGAAATAGAAAAGAGAATGAATCTTATGAAGGCCAAGGCCCTGAAGTGTGAAGCCATATGGCATCAGAGATTTGGACATATGAAAACCCTACCAAAGTTTTGTGGTGTAGATGAGTGTCAATTAAATTGTGATGTATGCATCACAGGAAAGTTACACAGAAAGAAATTTTGTAAGAATTCCAAAAGTGCAGAGAATGTTTTGGAGGTGATACATTCAGATGTATGTGGAAAAATTACACCACAAAGCTTGGGTGGGAAACAGTATTTTGTAACCTTTTTAGACGATAACTCAAGATTCTCAACTGTTGAAGTTTTAACAAACAAGTGTGATGTATTACCAGCCTTTCAAAGATATGTAGAGAAAGTTGAAGTGTTACAAGAGAGACGAATTAAATTTTTACAATCAGACAATGGGGGAGAATATTGCAGTGCAGCATTTAATGAATACTTGGATCAGAAAGGAATAGGCAGAAGGTTAAGTGTAGCTAGAACCCCACAACAAAATGGACGCTCTGAGAGGTTGAATAGAACTTTGCTATGCATTGTTCGTTGCATATTAGAGAATGCAGGATTGCCGAAGTCTTTCTGGGGAGAGGCGGTACTCACCGCAAGTAATATTAGAAATTGTTGCCCATCTAAAGCAATCCAAGGAAGAATTCCCATTGAAGTCTGGTCTAAGAAGGCATTTACTATAGATATGGCCAGAGAAATGAAAGTTTTTGGCTGCAGGGCTTGGGATCTGAATTTAAATGTCAAGGATAAACTTGACAGCAGAGCAGTTGAATGTATTTACCTTGGTAGTGCTAGGGACGCTAAAGGGTATAGACTCTATAGTGTAAATGAGAAGAAGATTCGCATATCCAGAGATGCTAGGTTTGAAGAAAGTGTTTTTCCTTATAAGACTATTATTCGAAAGACTGTGATTCAGACTAAGAGTGAAACACCCATTTATGTATATGATTCAGACTGTACTGATACAGAAGACAATGTGGGTGGGTCACATCCCAGTGTAGATGAGAATGATGATAAACCTAGTATAGTAGGTAATGACATAAATGTGGATAATTTGGAAAATGTACCCCAAGAAAATGTACAACCCCGTAGAACCACGAGAACTATTAAGCAGAAAGTTGTATGTGAATGTTGTGCTAAAGTAGATTGTGGTGAAATTACATTGGCAGAACCTAAATCTGTAGGGGAGGCGCTTAGTAGAATTGATAGAGATCACTGGATTGGAGCAATGAAATTAGAGATAGAGAACTTGAAGAAAAATCAAACTTGGGAAGTTGTGAGAAAACCAAAGAATGTTAATGTTATAGGTTCCCGGTGGGTATTTAGCCTGAGAAAGAAAGATGATGGCACTTTTAAGTATAAAGCCAGGTTAGTAGCCCAAGGTTTCCATCAAGTTTATGGTATAGATTTCTGGGATAGCTATAGCCCAGTAATGCGACGAGCGTCCTTTAGGATCCTAATGGCTTTGTCTGTTGATAGAGGATGGGAGGTTGATCATGTCGACGTTGTAGGTGCATATTTAAATAGTACTCTGAAAGAAATTGTATACATGCGCCAACCCGAACTGTTTGAAGAGGGTAATGCTGATGATGTATGTTTACTTTTGAAAAGCATATATGGATTACATCAATCTGGGAAGGACTGGAATGATACTATTACTTTCATCTTTGTCAGTTTCGGATTGAAACAGTGTACTAAAGATCCATGTGTTTTCTTTAATGACAGGATTATTGTGGCTATTTATGTCGATGATATGATTATTTGTGGAACTAGAAAGGATGTGAATGACTGCAAAAGACAACTTTCTCAAAGGTTAAACGTTAAAGATTTGGGACCTGTGTCAAATTTTTTAGGTATTAATGTGGATAGACCCAATGGATATGTAATTAAAATACATCAAGAAAATTATGTGAATGAAACACTGAAAACTTTTGGTATGCTTGATTGTAAAGGATGTGTAACTCCAAGGGACCCAAACTATAACAATTTTCTCGATGGTGACAAGCCCTTTGATGAGATTCAGTACAAGGCAGCAGTAGGTAGGTTGCAGTACATTGCCACTTGTACTAGACCAGATATTGTTTTTTCAACAAATCAAGTCAGCAAGTTTTGCCATTGTCCGACCAAAGGGAGATGGCTGGAGGTGATGAGAATTATGAGATACTTGAAACATACAATTAAATACCGGCTGACCTATGAAAAATCTGAAATTGACCCAGTAATTTATTCTGATTCTGATTTTGCTAACGATGTACATGACAGTAAATCCGTGGCGGGTTATGTTATCATGATGTCAAAGGGAGCTGTGTCTTGGAAGTCCAAGAAACAAGACATTGTAGCCACATCTACCAACGAAGCTGAGTATATAGCGTTATATGAGTGTAGCAAGGAAGTTATTTGGATGAGAGAGTTTCTGTCGGAAATTAATGTAGCAGTATCTACTCCTAGTATAATCTTTGGAGACAATTTACAGGCAAATGATATGTGCACAAAGAATAAGATTACTGAACGCAACAAGCATTTTAGAATGCGGCAACATAAGATTAGAGAATATGTTAATGATGGAGATATTAGTATCCAGTATGTAGATTCAAGCACTAATTGTGCTGATATGCTGACTAAAGCTACTAATGGTCCAAAGATAAATGAGCTGTCTTTAAAGATAGGTTTGAAATTCGGTGTGGAATTGTAAACTTGTTTTACTTTTGGTTATTGTAATTATAGATTTTGACTGTAAAATATGTCCAACAAGGGGAGGTGTTGTAATACTATAGTTCTAGTGTTGGCCATATTTATCATGTGATATATGTTGTTCATAAGTTGGTACCACACCCACTGCTACTTCTTTTGTTAATGTACCTTTGGTATCTTGTAATGTTTGTGAATGAAGTTAGTCTCCAGTAAACGTTAGATTTGGACGAAGGCGTTTCATTATCCGTTTTTACCTCGATGATCCAATGTGATTTCACAAAGGAAACAACAGCTTTATCATTATAATAATTTAATTGTATTCAGTGCTGACCGCATTTGGAGCTGATACACCAACAGTGAATAACCTATGAACCAACCTGAACTTACATAATACTAATATATAAAATATTCTGACTAAGAATTTGTATTATACTCCAAATTCTTCCAAGCAGAATTCAAGATAGAACTCGTAAGTAGGCTGCACACAGTTGCTTCCTAGCCAGATCATTCAGATCACCATTTATGATTATCAGCTTGCAATTTAGTTCATCATTAGCTGGTATGTTACCTATAGTTTCTTTCTTTGTTTCTTTTTTATCATGGGTTGAGTCTGAGTCCACTTGGTACTGGAGCCACTCTCTGGCCAAGTTACCTATAGTTACAAGGAGCTGAGATAGCGTAGTCGGTATAGCGACTGGCTGTGGGGTGGAATACTGATGGGTCAGAGTTTGAGATCCTGGTAGGCTCAAGAATTTTCTCTTCTCCTTGTCGTCCAGATCAGTTGGGCCCACCCAACCACCTATCCAATTGATACCAGGAGCTCTTTTCTGGCGAATAAAGCAGCTGGGGCGTGAATTGAAGACTCACCCCCATCTACTGCTGAGGTGAAGAAATGTGGACCTATACATCCACTCTCCCATATGCCTTCATGGCATAGTACTTAATTAGTTAAGCTCAGGGACAACTTTACCTTTACCTGCAGTTACTAAAACAAAATAAGTCAGATCCCCATAGTTCAGTTGATGTTTAAACAGCTGGTAAAGAAATTACCTTCCTTTATAGAACCTGAAGTTTCATAACTGTACTGAAACTCCACTATTGAAACCTTCCTTTTCAGATATTCATATCCTGTGTCTCTAAGCTGTGTCTTACTGTTACCCCAATCTGTGTCACAGTCTTCTGAAGCAGTCTCTTATATTAAGAAATTCAAATCAATATATATTTCATTTTTATTTCTCCAAGTGTACAGCAATACCTACCAGATTGACTATCTCCAATTGAATTTTATTTGACAAATTTGCTTTATTTTGTTTATATGTTTGATCTGTGCTAATTTATACATTGATGAAGAACCACTAATTATGATCTTCACCACTAATAGTAGGTGTATTAGTTCTAAAGGTTTCATGGTGATTAAAAGTGATAAGATCTTGTCAGCTGAATAGCTACATCAATTTGAAGTTGAAGTTACCATTTTTGAGGCCTCCATCATCATCATCATCATCAGGGAATGATGTGCCTAATGCTGGAGACAGAGGAGGTCTCTGAAACATTCAGCTTCAACTCTAGATTGATGCAGCTGGTTGCCTCATCTGATCTGATCAGTACTCCTCTTTCTTTCAGTATCCAGTAACCATACTCACCAGTGGTAACAAGAGTAAATGTAGTAACCAACATCTGCTTCAAGGTAGGCTTTTATCAACCTGTTCTGTCTCAAAGACTATCTTGCCATCATCTTCTTGGTCATCCAACATAACCATAATAAGAGCAGTTACATTTTTTAGGTTTAAAAATATACATAAACTGCATCATGATATTTTTTATGTGGGGCAGTCTGTAATTTTTTTAATTGGTGACGAATGTTTTTCATTGACATTGTTGAAATATTAGTGTTATTCTGATTGAAAGTGACTGGTGTTTGTAAGCACTGAATCTTATTCTTAGCATAGAATGGGGTAATCACCATAGCAATATTAGGAGGAAGACACAAAACTTGTCACTGTAGAATTGTTTCCATTCTTTTGATATTTCATTCATTATAGTTAATAAAAGTATTTCTTTTCAGATGGTCCAAAGATGAATCTGAAAACTTGTATGGGTATTATGTTCAGAGCTGGAAATGGCCAGATCCAGTTGGAAAAGTGCTGCAACTGCTTGCCAAGAATGGCATTACCAATCTGACACGAACTGGGGTAAACTTAAAAGAGTACTTAAATATCACAAATAATTCTTGCTTTATCCCCTGTAAATAATGAAAGATCAACATGCAGTCTGCAGAGCAGATATTGAGTTTGGTGACCAAGTTTGCCAGCAGTTACAAGGTGCGTGTAATGATTTCTCTCTTGTGTACATGAAGGCTATGGTACTGCTAATAATGGTTTTAATGTTACATCTCAGAATAATAATATTGCAGCTGCTCAGATAAGTCTTAAGTGAAAACTGAGACCAAGTATTGAACCCGCAAGTTTGCAGGCTACTGTTAAACCATGCTGTGCACACTAACTGTGGAGTTTCAAGTTTTCTTTGGGAGATGGGTGACTAGCACACAAAAGGTATCTAACAAATAATTAATTTTTTTTAAGAAAATGTCACCATTATTTACATCCACATCTCTTAACTAAGATGATACATGAACACATTCTAAACATGTAGACCACCTCAGCACTGCACAGATATTGGTTCATTGAGGAGAATTCGTGGTGTGCTTTGCAGTCACCAATGAATGACTATGAAATTATTATCATAATTTAGAGACTGGTCATGGGGTTTTCATTGGTAATTGGATTTATGTACCACTACAAAGAATTATAGTGCTATCATTAATTCACACACTTTACAACTCATTATAGCACACACTAAGCTTTTCAGTTTCTCTTCACTAGCAACTGCTTTTTAACAAATCCCAACAGTGTTTGTTTTTTCAACAGTGCCTGTCCTTGCTGGCCGGCAACTCCTTCACAACTCTCATGGTTTTAACTCCCTCATATTGTCAACTGAACAAATTTTCTGGTTTGTGTTTGCTGTGCTGCCTCGGGGCGGACCCAGTAGGAAACACCATTTCCAGCAGTTCCTCTCTTGTGTGTGTACCTGTTGCTGTGGAAACCAGCTGCCGCATGTTTTAAACATGTAAATAGACATAGAATCAGAGTGTTTTCTTTGAAGTGAAATATATGCAGTATATTTTCAATACATAAACATTATAAGAGTAATGAAACTAGTAATCCAGAATTATCTGATTTCCATCTCTCACAATTGTATCTGTAATAGTGGAACTATGATGAAGTATGAGTATATTGAAGACGTTGTTATTTGTGACAAAAACCACTGGAACCGTCAATTTCTTTACACCACATAATGGAAAGCCATCATGAAACATGGGCTTTTTTCTAGCACCTTCATTATAACATATGATTCATAATCAGCCTCCACTGTTTTCCCATAAATTTTGCATCAGCTGTATTTGCAGTTTGCTTGAGAAGTTACTTATGTCTAGTAGTTCATAAAGGTCCAGGTAACCCACCCTCACTATCCTGTCATTGTGAAGGAGAAATTTCAGATACCGAAACCTGTGGGTAGTTTATCCTTCGAAGTTTCAGTCACTGATAAAGTGTGCATCACAATACTACTTCAGAGCTTTTCTGAAACAGATTTTATGCAGTACTGTAGAAGAAATTGGAAAGAATATGTTGAAAGACTATGCTATGATATAATGCACAGAATGGACCCCCAGACAGCGTTGAAAGATTCAGTTGCCATTTCACTTTTGACCTTTTGCTGAAAAACAAGTATTCCACTGTTGTAGTGTACATATTTAGTGAAATCATGATTAAATATACAAAAGTGGTTCATTGGAAGTGTTGTGTTTTCTGTTTGGTTTGTCCTGAGGGCCAACAGGACCAGTCAGTCTAGAGCTAGTCTTGAGATGGCAGAAATGGAAGAGTAGGAGGCTGGTGTGAGATGGCCACCAGCTTTTAAAAGCATGAGGAATAGCCTGTAACCAGACAGAACCTCGTTGATTTGTGAGATAGAGATGACAGCCAGCAAGGACAGGAGCCATGGAACATGGAAGCTGATGGATTGTGGTGTTGGGAGTGTTGCTAGGCGACAACTGGTGTAGACACAGCAGACTGAGAAGACTTAGTGTATGCTGTAGTGAACTGTAGAGTGTGTGAATTACCAATAGCCATATAATTAATCATAGTTGAGATTTCTAAGAGTCCAGTAAATATGATTACCAATCCAGACCTCTTCTATGATCTTCTAACATATGGCAGTATTTTTTCTTTCCTTTTCTTGCATGCCTCATCATTAAATAATCTTGTTAATAATACAGACTTAACCTTTACAGTTCTTGCAGCAATGTAAATTTCCTACATTTTTACAATTTCAAAAAATGTTACGAATTCAGGCGGCAGTTGATCAACTTGTTTAATACAGTTACACCCACCATAAACCACTTTCATTGAATAATCAATGTAGTGGGTTTTTACATCATACAAATGTGAGTGTATGTGTAATACTAGCCAAGGATAAGAGACTGCACATTTTCAGACTAAGTATATCAATGATTTTCCAGTTGTTTGTAGTAGTACTGATATGTTTCCTTTTGTGCTTTATGATTATGTTCCACTTTCATTAATACATTGCAGTGAATAACACTCTTGTCCTTGTCCTAAATATTTTATGCTCACTTTATCATTTAAAGTACAGGTCGTCTTTGTGTGCCGAGATATTATGTGTTAATGTTGAGGAGAAGTGTTTGTGTCTATTGTAACGATTGATTTTTTGTGGACTGATGAAACTTCAGAGCAGTGGCATAAGGGTTATGTTGGTCACACAACACTGAGAACATGATGCCATTTCACCATATCGAGCAGCAGCATATGTATGTCCTTGTGAGTAAGTAGAAGTTATAATATTTCTAATATTTTGTATGACACTTGTGGCAGCTACCTAAAGTTCTCTTTACTGTGTTGAAGTGTCTGTCTGTAAATAGGTGGTTTGTTAGGTTTGTGTTTGGAGCAAGTTTAATTTAGTGAAGCCCCTGTTTAAGGTTTTGTTGAGGATCATTGGATTTCAAGATTAAACTGATGAAAATTTTAAATGGAAGTAATTTATCACTGAGTTTACTGGGATTATCAAAATTGAACATTAAATCATAAATCAAAGAACATTAAATGGGGTTCCATTGTCTGTAGAAGCATGAGTACTTGTAAGCATACAAGAAGCTCATGCTTCTCCATTGTGCACCAATTCCCATTTTAGAAGCTCTCCCAGACATTTCCTGTTCACTTCCTCATCCTCTTCTAGGGAATTATGCATTGCCAAAACATCATCATCCTAACTCTTCATAACTGTCAACCATTTGAGTCTTTATTTAAAACTGCTCTTTGAATTCTCTCTATTTTCCAAGATTATTAATACTACCATGGTTGAGAATTTGGTTTAAATTTACATCTTCACATGAGCAGGACATGAGAGAAACTCTGCTCTTTTGAACCTCTTGATAAAAGTACTCTGACTGAATACCAACAGTCAGCAGAGGTCATTGGTGCCCAGGGTTTGACACTCACACTACTGAGGGCCCCAGTAGAACAGGTTTTCTTTCATATCGTATTCAACTGACAACAAAAATATAACCGCTTTCCAAAATGAATTGGTTTTAATGACCATGATTTATTTTATCCGTCTTCTAGTGCATACATTCATCTCACTCTCACTACATGTTTCGGCACAAATGTGCCGAAACATGTAGTGAGAGTGAGAAGAGGGGATAGATGAATGTATGCACTAGAAGACGGATAAAATAAATCATGGACTTAAATCAGTGCAACAGGACGCTAAAATATAACATGGTTTTAATGAACTTGGATCATGGACGAAATCCAAAATAAAATTTTATATAGTGTGTCACACCATTTTCAGCCATTTTTAAACTTCATATAGCTTCTGTTTTGTCAAAATTTGTCTGTCATTTCACCACTTATGAGTTTCTTGTAACCACTGTAATTTTGACCTTACTGTGTAATATATCCTCTAATTGGTGTCTAGTGAATTATTTGTTTTAGTTGTCTGTTCTTAAGTAATCCTACATCATTTATAAATAGCTTGGATTTTTGTCTTTCTTTACTTAAGGTTTATGTTTGGTAAATTAGAAAACTTTGTAATGTCTGATTCCTATTTGTAGCAAATCAGTGGTGATTATGATAAAATGAACACTTCCTTTCACGAATAGAGTGTGCGTAGCCTGCTTGTGATTCTGTCTTGAACAATTGCAAAGATTAAGGGCTCTTTGGCAGCAGTGCTACCTAGCTTTGTACAAGGTGTGGCAATAAAGAAACCGGATTCATGCTCTAACCCTTTATTTAAAAAAAATCAGACAGTCGAAATGTTATCCCCTTCAATGTAGTCCCCTCCCCGATCCCTACACCGCTCCATGCGAATTTTCCACTGTTGGAAGCAGTGCTGCAGGTCATCTTGTGTTATGCTCTTCAAGAGTTGCGTCGCTTTTGCTTTCACTGCATCCACGGACTCGAACCTGGTCCCTTTCAGCGCAGACTTGATTTTTGGGAAGAGAAAAAAGTCGCACGGTGCTAGGTCCGGAGAATACGGTGGATGTTCCATCACTGGAATGTTGTTTTTTGCCAAATACCTCTTCACAGATAGCGCGTTGTGTGCTGGCGCGTTGTCGTGATGAAGAACCCATGAGGCATTCTTCCACATGTCTGGTCTCCTTCGTCGCACACGTTCACGGAGGT